AAATCCTTTACTTCTAAGTAAAAAAGACATGTATTAAGAAATTATATTTTGACTATTAGTATTTCATTTAGTCAGAAACCAGACAAGAATCCCTAAATAATTGCAATTTGGTTTTTCAAATACACTTTCACATTAATCGAAACTGTAGAGAAAACTAATGAGCTGTACAAATTTAAATAATGTTTTAATATATTAGATGTATTAAACTGAAAATAATATAAGGGAAAGATTCAGCATTCCTCTGTTAACAGAGTCCAAATATGGCTTTAAAAATCTCAAAGAGACCCTAAACAAATAAACAATCTCATACACAATTTTGGTGTAATTAATTAATGCATATGATTTTCCCAAATTAAGATTTGTTTTTATTACAATGTCAACAATGTCAAGTATACTATTTGGGCAATATTTTACAGCAACGACCTTCCGTTTTGACAATGATATAAAAAAAATAATAAAAGTTTGCTAGAGATATATCTTTATTAATGAAGTAAATGTATACTTAAATAAAACCCCCTGATTTATCTTTTTCTTGAAATTGATATCTTCTACCGCGTTTTTTAAATTTTTGATTTGAAATATTAATGTTAAACTTATAGGATGTAAGTAATCTGTCTAAAGAGTTTTTTGATAGGGGAAGAAAGTGATGAGAAAGGGTGAGCTTGAGGGGAATATCTTGTTTGGGGGTATTATGTGTACATTTGTCCAAATGGATCAAAAGTATGACATGTACATTTACATATACGGTTAATGCTGAGGAACAGTAGGAAAACTATATATTCTTCTGTCTGGAGCAATTCTAGCGAAATAAGAAGTAGATTACAAGATCATTACGGAATTTACCCAGCTGAGAAAGAAGGTAGCAGTAATTTCTTTGTCCATGGCACCTGATCCAAGCTTTGATGTTTCTAAAGGTACTTATTTGTTTTGATCCCAATATGTATTGTTTTAATGGATTTTGAATTTGATTACATTTCGTTTTCTCCAATTCATATGCAATGTTCAAGTACTGCTTCAACTATACAGTTTCCTTCAAGGGTGGAAATTCTTCAAAACCTTTCGTCAGTTTTGAATATATTTTTAAAATTTTATTAGCAATCAAATTTGGATTTAAATACTACTCCCATCTCCCCTACGTAATTCCTTCAACAGAATCAGAGAAAATGTAAGCTTACATCTCTTGAACAAAGTAAGAATAGTTCTAAATTAAGAACATGTAAATGATAAGCATTAACAAAACACGTGACCACTTTTTCCATATCTACCTCTCTATTCCGTATGACATTTAAGAATTTACTTTTTTAATAGTATGATACTGTAAATGTATGGCAAGCCCTTTTAATATTTATTCGTGAAACAAAATTTTCTTTCAATAAGATAGATATCTCTTAAACATAGAGATATCTCTTTAGCTTATAGAGATATCTCTTTGACGAATAGAGATATCTTTAAAACTTAGAGAGATATCTCTTTTACTTAAAGAGATATCTTTTTAAGCTAGAGAGATAAAAATGCTAAAAGTTTAATATCCAGGAAAACGAAAGTAAGCATAAAACTTCCAATTCAAAAATATCTCTTTCCCATAGAGATATCTCTTTAAACTGAGAGATATCTCTTTAAGTTGGAAGATATCTCTATTTATAAAGAGATATCTCTCTAAAATGAGAGATATCTCTATAATTTTAAGATAAACTTCATTTTCTAAATAAATAGCAAAAGTGCCTGTCATATAAATGTATTATATTTAACATGTATTATATCTGGTGGAAATTGAATTTTGAACAAGTTAGCAGAGTACTTAGCGCATCTCGTAATGTTATTCTTTTTATGTGTATGTGAACTTTAATAATTGGAAGTTGTTTTCCACCAAATGCATACATTAATTTGATTAAAAACCCTAAGTCAAATCATATAAATTATGTACGTTCACAGTAATTGTAATAACAACCTTTAGACGGTTAATTATCATTGTAAATGGTTTTGGTGTTCCTTTTGGATATTGAAGAGTATGTATATGAAAATAGATGGTTTAATGTACCCAGAAAGTGAAAAGTAAATATTTGTATGAACCTTTTCATGTGCGATAAGAAATTTCATCTGTCAATGCTAAAATATACACCTGTCTGACGGATTAAAAATATGCAAAGCCAATGGATAAGAACAAGGAAGAAGTTGGACTCATTCTGCCTACCTTTCTGGAAGAGTAAAGATTTTTTTCACCTTCCATTGCTGATGTGAGGTAAAACCATTATTCCTGTACGTATATATTATATTTATTTATGTATCATAACAGTAATTTAAAGATTTTCAAATATCAAATTATTCTTTAAAAAAAACTTCATTTCTGAAATTTTCAGTAAATAAAGTACATATTAATAGGAAGTAGGAGCTTCAAAACGTATGTAATGAATTATTTTTAGGCATTTTTAACACCCTCTTAAAATTCAAATCTCACATGTATATGTCTTTTTTTCTTTATTTGTCAAAAGTTAAAAAAAGTTCTGGTATTTGATCAGATGCAACCTTTTAGCATATCTTAATTCTCGAATATTATTATTTTTTCCAGGATATCAGAATAAAAAAAATGAATATTCATTAACACGATTTTTCTGAAGTTTTCAAACGCGTGACCAATCCCTTGGTATCAGTTAATAGACAGCAGACAATATAAAAGTAATATGTGCTGCATCATGTGTATTATACATGGATAGGCATACAATTAATTAAAGTTCATGCTTAATTGTACTTTAATCTTTTTTAGATTATAAAAATGGCAGACTACCTTAACATCTTTTTCATCATCCTTACAATGTTTGTATCGATAGTGACTTCAAACCACTGTGAACCTTGCCAGTCCACAAATATCATAGACCTGTCGGATTGTAACATCCACAGTCTATCAGAGGCAATAAACAAATCGTGCACTTCAGCACGAAGTGCCCAAATTCTGAATTTGAACGGAAATTTTATAACAAACATTTCAAGTGACGACTTTAAAATGCAGGATAACACTGGATATTTCTGGCAGCTCAGTGAACTTAAAATAAGTAATAATTCAATTTATCATGTCGACGAAAATGCATTCTTGACGTTGCTCGTTCTTGAGTATTTAAATCTCTCGTATAACAATATGAAAGAGTTAAACAATGGGATTCTGAAAAATAAACCTGCTTTAAGGACTGTTGATTTCTCTTACAATCAGATAGATATTATTGGGACACAAGTTTTTACTAAACATCACTACGCTCTAAAAGAGGTTTACCTTACACATAACAAACTTGTGTCCATGGAACCATGGCCATATATACCACCATACTTGTTGAAGTTTGATGTATCGTACAATCTTATCATGAATTTCACTAATAAAATGAACTGGACATACGACTTGGAGGAACCTTACCAAGCAAGTGTAGATCTTCGTCATAATCAGTTTACATTTTGGAATGATGGCTTCTTTCAGCAATATAATCCTACTGATAAGGAATTTTACAATGATATTGTAACATATAACGTAGATCTGCGAGATAATCCATGGTTCTGCGACTGTAAGCTTCATGAAGTTTCAAGGAGATTACAGAAGTCCTTCATTAAATACTCAGATTTAAGATTTGAAGTTAAATGCAATGGTCCACCGGAACTGCATGGAGAATCTATTGCCGATGTTGATTTGAGCGATTTGATTTGTAATGTCACTAAAGACTGCCCACAAAATTGTTTATGTCAGGACAAGCCAGATGACAATATGTTTCATGTCAATTGTAATAATGGAGGCCATACAAGTTTACCAAGTCAATTACCGGAAAACAGATACAAAAGACTTAAATTGGAAATGAATAATAATCAAATCAAGACATTATCTAGTAGAAATTATACATCTTACATCACCGAACTCTCAATGTCCGGAAATGGACTTCAGGAGGTCGAATTTGAAGCAATAGAAAATATGGAGGCCCACGTACGTTTGAACCTGGAAAATAATAATTTGCAAAGTATTCCAGAGAATATTCAATTTAAAACTCCATATGAAAAAACAAAATTAAGAATCAATCCTTTCAAATGTACTTGTGACATGGTTTGGATGGCAGAATGGATTAATTTTGCCCCCGAAGACAACACAAATCGTGATATACAATGTACTCATGAAAAGGACGACGTTTATAAGATTCGTGAAGTAACAGAAAGTTTGCTTAACTGCACGTATGATGTTGCTATAGGACTGACAATCGGCTTTGCAATTTTACTTACACTCGTCATTGTAGCTGTTGTATGGGCCAAACGGTGCCCTTACGAAACCAAAGTTATCCTATACAGGATTTTTCGATATCATCCGTGGGACAAATACCGCGTGGACAGAGAATTAGTCGCAGAATACGACGCGTATTTATCGTTTGATGACACAAATATTTATATACGCCAGTGGGTGCTTCGAAAATTTGTGAAACGACTTGAAGAAGAAAAACCCTGCTATAAGTTCTTTGTGCCCATCAGAAACCTGATTCCCGGGGAAGACAAAGCAGATGGCATCATAAACAATATGGAGAAAAGCAAAAGAGTTATTATCATCCTCTCAAACGAATATGACGAAAATGAGTGGTGCAAATTCGAGTGTCAGAGGGCCGAAATTTTAGAAATGAATAAAGGACGAATTATCTTTATAAAATATCACCCTGAAGCCGATAATATGATAGAAAACGAACCGTGGAAGTCTCGAGTGAAAGGTCGGAAGGTGTTTTCCCCGGGGGAGAAGAAAAGTGAGCGCAGATGGTTCTGGGGAAAAATTAAATATGAGTTACCTACTAAATAAATGAGATTTTTTACGGTTCTTGTAACGTATGCCAGTGCTTGAACCTGCAATATCAACACTTTACTCTCAATTGATGCAAACACTATTATAATATGTCTATTGTATGACAATAGATATATGCATCATACATAACGCTTACTCATATATTGCATTAAGTTCGAGGAATTGCCTGTTATCATTCACTCGAATTTTATATGACTGTTAAGACAATCTTTATCAGCTAAAAACAATATTGTATTAAAGAATGTCATGCATACATGTAGGCTCATTATAGAAAATTATTCTCAATCCATTGTGCTTGAGGATCTTTACCATTTGAATTTCTTTGGTGTATAAGGTGATTAGACCCAATTACAAATATAGAAATTAATAGAAATGTTGATTCTAGAACTGGATGTCTTTTATTCATGGACAGATAAAATTGATAAAATGCCAGGAATAATTTTATTATTACTTTATATTTTTTTGCTTCAATTCAGTTGCCGAGGATCGAAATAAACAATATTGCAGGAATCAAAGATTTTTTCGAGCAACAAAACAAGAACACTTTGCATTTGGTTTTAAGGTTCAATGACCCTCTAATAAAAGAGATCTCACTGGTAATTACATGTATGACATATTCCCCTTCCCAACAAAAATGGTTAAAAAGAGATTTTTTTTATTTTTATAGCAAGATTCTTTAAAGTCATTAACATTTCACAACAATAATGATTTTTCTCTGTTTCTGAAAATCATTATCATTACTATGTTGCAGTTTTATCAAAGATGGTGTGTATTTACATGTCCATATACATCCAAATCGAATTACTTGTTTTAATCCAAACACTCTTTTTCTTCTGAATTCTACAATGGATGTGTGAATTTAGTATAAAATGATTAAGACTTTAAAATCCCGTATATACATGTATATAATTGTTTATCACAGTTAATGAACTTGGCACAATCTAATAACAACCGTCAATCCAGTCACTGTAAAAAAATATTTTAATAAATCAATCGATTGATGTCTGGGTATTCCGCTTGCAATTTCTCTATGGCATCACTGAATTTCATCAAATCTTCAAGACTTTTCATTCCTAATTTTTCTTCAATGCATCTGTAGAAATACTCAGGGGCCTGTGAAAATTTAAGATGACATCTTGGTAAAATAAGATTCAGTAAGAAATAAGATCACTTTGAAGAATTTAATAAATCTAGAGAGTATATAAATATTTCTTTGATTTCTTGTTATTATTTCTTTAAAGATTTATAACCACAGTATCAGATTTCATTAAAAATACTTTTCTAAATTAGAATAGTGTCTGTAAAGGGAAGATAACTCTTTCAACAATCCAATGTGAGCTCCAAATAAACACGATCTTTTATAAGTTGCATTGCAATCTCAGGAATTTGTTAAAGAGTAATAAGTAGGTTATATGTCCTTTATTTCTCACTTCATTAAAATATTTTTCTTTAAGATATGCTTGTAATTAATGAGCCTGTGTTATAAAATATTTACATGTAATCATTTTTTACTTATAAAATGAACTACATGTATATGAGTTTTTTTATTTACCAAAATACCGAATTTTAATATAGTTTTATTTTTTTTAATTTTTTTTTGTTTTATAAATCATGAAGTAGAAAACATTGTCTTACCCTTCGGAATAATTTATAAAGAAAAACAAGTTGTTTGCCAGAAAGATTTTTCAATCCAGAAAATCTGCAAAAGTACAAAAAGATCTCAAAGATTAAGTAAAATTTGGTAGATTCAATACCATCTAAAAAAATTACTTCACTCACTAATACATTATAAAAGCGAGACATAACTTTTAAGTGATATGTTCTGAAAAAACTCAAAATATAATTTTAGCCAAAAATAATTTTTGCAATTTTATGAAAATTAAAATAAATAGTAACCTCTCCAAAGCTGTTGGAATTATAATTAATATTCAACTTTGTCAATCTCAAAACCCTTGCTAATAATGATATTGGTATCCTCGCTAAAACTTCCGTTTGTATGGTATTTATCTAAGAGAAATGAATTGTTTTTAATTTGTCAAAGATACGTTTGGCTATAGGTCAGAAATATTTAATGTTTTCCATAATATTGCCTCCGTGCCAACTGTCTTCTCATTTGTAATCTCGATGTACTTACGCCATTAATTGATTGTCACCAAGCCATTTCTCAATATCTTGTCTTGTCCAATCCAGCAAGACAATGCTATCGTCAGATGACGGTAACAGGGTTGAAACAGCATGCTTAAATTGTTGATATTTGAAATTATTAAAAATGTTTACTAGTATATCTATAAATATACAATCGAGGAAGTTTAATCAGTTATCGACATTACTATCAATACGAATGAACAAAGAATGTATTCCTTTTTCATATACTATGATCACACATGAAAATATTTTTAAAAAGTATTGTGAGAAATGAGCTCACAAAATGATGCCCCTGCTACCAAACTAGTTAATCTATATTTTACATCTGTAAACCAATAACGCAAATTCACAACCGTAAACAGCAAAACATAGATTATCTGATAAATAAGCGATCTGATAAATATAGTTTCACGATTTGTGAAACTATGATATAAATCCAATTGTAAACTATAGTTTACAAACGTGAATCTATGTTTATCAACAAAATCTATTGTTAACGCTTTAAATCGTAAATATATAAAAATAAGACTTCTATAATGGCAATAATATGTTAGAAAACTTTTAAAGAAATTTTATTCATTGATATGATAGGTTGCGGGTAAGAAATGACTACACCAATTTTAAAGAAAGAATGGTAGTGTTCATAAGTAAACCCAAATATAAATTTCATTCAGTGGTATAAAAGATTTTTGGATAAGAGATGGATACCCAAAAGCATACGAGGTGTAAAGATTTACAGATGTACAGACAACACTATCAATATTTTTTTCAAAGTGGTTAAACAATTAGGAAGCAGACCTCTTGAATGGTTGACAATGTCTTCGTCTTCTGTGGATGAATTTTTCCAGATATTGCGGCTAAAAGTTCTCCCAATTTTCTTTCGAAATCGTATTTGCCGCTGAAATCGTAAAACAATTTAGCTCCTATCATGGCGCCCAACCATCCAGTTGCTTTGTAACCTTTCTCCATCAGAAGCGGAATAATTTCCTTCTTTTGTGAGTAAGCGTATTCTGCCTCTGTCAAAGAATTGTTTCATTAATGATGTTTGGTAGAATATTTATTATTCAAATAAGTGATACATTGACCCAAGAATAGACAACAATTTTATTTGAAAAACGGCAAGCCATTGCTCTGTAAAGCAGCAATTTTCAAAAAGTTTACGATCAATTACTTCAAGCAGCAATGCTCATTTTTACATACACGTACTTAACAATTTTGAAATGCATTATCCAAAAGATCTCTCTTTCTATTGACTTTGAACCATTGCAATATTCTTACCTGTTCGACAATTTTGACTGTCTTTGTATTTCTCGGAGTAACAAACCAGTATAATTCTTGCATCTTCCACTGCACGAGCCATGGCTTCGAGAATCGAACCTTCCATGTTGTCAACGTCCATCCAAACCGTGAAGCCTTTTTCTTGAAGACGATCCCTAATCTTAAATATATATTTTTAAAAAAAATATTCAATTAAATCACTGATTGCTGCATGGAAAATTGAATCACATAGTAAATGAGACCAATATCAGTAGTTCAAGGAATTTTACAGTGCTTAAAGTGTCAAAAGCATATATAAAATTTAACACTTATAGCTGCTCTTTGTTCAATAAACTTATTTTTCAGATATTTCAATCAAGATAAGTTCACAAAAGAGGTCAAAATCGAAAAAGACCTGTAAAAAATCTCATTATATTTATATCACTTTGACTATTGGAAATAAAACATTTTATCACCTGTAAAAGAACTTTCTGGTTTGCCCAATTATAGCTTAGCATAATATGTCCTGCAATAGCGGATTCTTCCTCTTTTTCCTCTGGTTTTACCTTTTTCTTCTTCTTAGCTAAAAATAATAAATACCTCAGCGATCATATTTAGAGGTCATTTAAAATATGAGAGTGAAATACTGAGTATTTATGTTTGATGACTTAAATTCGCTAAGATGTTTGATATTTTTAGCATGCATACCCGCATCTTGTCCCTCATTGATAACGAAACATGCTCCCTGAGCCGCCTTCGATAATTCCTTGCTATCGCTATTATACAGACTTTGAAGTGTTTTCCAAACTTCTTTGTCATTCTGAAATTTTAAGCCAATTATTTTTTAACTACAAGTACGTGCGAGTAATAGGAACGGCAACTCTGATTAGGTCATTAGGTCTGTGCAATGGAATGAAGTTATAAAAGAAGTACATGTAGTGATAAATTGCATCTCAGCAAGGACTCATAATGGAAAGCATTTGTTAATTACCAACCTTAAATCGTTCTTTATTCTTTTTAGCAAAAGACAACTCCCAAATAACATTGACAACTGCAATCTGTTCTGCTTCATTTCCTTGTTTTAAAACTCGTTTAAGGGTATCAAAAGCCCCTTTTTTCATGATGGTTGTTTTGTTGTCATCGTTTTTGGCCAATTTTGCCAAACCATTAATGAGTTCATGGATAGAAAAGCCCCATTGTCTGCGATCCTTTGCTTTCTCAGCTTTGTGGACCATGTCAAGTATAAAGTCAAAGATAGATTCATCGGCCGTGATTTGTCTATTTTGTTCTTCGTTTACCATGTACGATAAGGCCAAGAGAACAACCAGCTTTACATCTGTTACAGAAAAGAAAACAAAGCAGATATTACTAGTATTCTTATAAATACTTAATCCGCTGAAATTGTGAAAGGGAGGAGTTTTTTAACTGTAATTTGTAAAAATCTCTTTTGATTAGTTTTGGTGTTTCTTTCTACATTTTAAAGCAAATTTCTGTAAAATAACTATTTACACTGTAATTATTAACTGCCTTATTCTCTTTACTTTTTCCCTTAGTGAACCTTTTTTTATCTTTTCTTCCTTTTATTCTTTATGTACATTATCTGCTTGTAACGAATTTCTCTCTCTCGCTCTCTCTCTCTCTCTCTCTCTCTCTCTTCATTTATATATATTTTTAATATTTTTAACTAAATTAAATGTTAACATTAATTAAGAGCAAAACATACTGAAAGGAAAAAGAAATACAAGGTAGACTTTTGAGGTGAAATAATTTTTTTTTTCTTTTGCATTTTGAGTATTCTATCTTTAGTTTAAAATCATTTTTACTGAAAATATAACAAAATTCCATTTGATTTTGCCTTAAAATTCATGAGTTATTGAAACTCATGTGACAACCCCCCCCCCCCCCCCAAAAAAAAAAAGAAGTGAAAATAGAAAATTCTCATTATCTTCATTTTCTCTCTCGCGCAGTGGTGACAATCTTAATTTTCCTTTGCATGGAGTTCATCCGAATGTTTATTCCTCCAATAGGGATACATGTATTATGCAACACTTTCAACGAGTCAGCCCTTAGTTTAAAACTTGAAAGTGACCAACTTGTGTATTTCGAACCCTATCATCCACTAAGTCCTGCAGACGCTCAATGAGACAAAGATGGAGTTTACGGAGACTAGTCGAGTGGGTAAATGTCTTGACTGTCCCTCGCTACAATGGACCAGGGGTAAATATGCCGAAAAAAATAGGCAAATGATGTCACATGCGCCAGTGAGAGGAGAACCAACGTAAAATTGACCAGCTAAATACAGAATCGCATAAACGGTTTCTTTTAGTTTGAGGTGAATGTAATGATTATGACAGTCTACTGTATTTTATAGCAGTTTTTGTGTAGTAAGATTGGATTAAAACAGGTGTCAGGGTGAATAAACCGATCTTAACGTGGCTCTGTTACGCGTCAACGTCATTGTCGCTGTCGGTTTTCAAAACCATTCATGGGCCTATCTGATGACGGATAAGACATTTATTTACATGAAACTACACAGAAACCTGTTTTTGCCTCTGTCCCAACTTACGCACTGTAAAAGCAGCCTTAAGCAGGACCCCATAAAACAGTACCAAGATTGCAAGAAATTCATATCGTCGGTAAATATTGAAAAACAGTGTATACATCAAATGGTAAAACACAATGTATTGACAAACTTGTCAATTTTAGCGAAATTTTAACTTGTTTAGAACTTTCCCTATGTGACGTCGTAAATTTTACAGTTGAGTAACTCTGGACACTAATGTAAGTGTACAGTAACCAAATTTGACCAATTGGTAATTTTCGGTCATGTGGTTAAAAAAATTCGTATATTATGCTACTTTGCGTTTCTTTTTTCATTTTTCATTTCAGTTTATTATATTACTCACACGTTATGTCTGTTTTTAACAGATCTTCTAGAATTTCAACCATGTTAATATCCCTTGACTCTTTTTCATCCTTCTTGGACAAGCGCTTGATACTGTAAACATCTTTTGTAGAAGCATTTCGAGCACAGTTGTTGAGTATTCCAAGAGTGGAGTTAAATGGAAAGTGGTTTTCATTCTGAAACGTTTATTGGGAGATCTAAAGGTCTTAAATGTCCAAATGTATACGAAGACCAACAACTATGAATGAAATCAGCAAAAATATGTCCCTTTAAGGACCTCCGACATTTAACACCTGGAACATAATTCAAAGTTCTTACCGTAATTTCGTCTTCTAGTTCTTCCAGATCATCCTTCACAGCTAATAAATCTTCCGTCAGATATTGAAAAAACTGTGTGTCATTTACAATGGCTTCGGCAAATTTGGAACTCCCGTCAGCATAATTCCATAAGATTGTCCTGATAAGTGTTAGAAGTTTGAAGAATTCTGATTCGGAATGCTCCTCTTCCAAGTCATCATCAAAATAATCGAGGTCATGATTAGACCAGACAGCCTGGTATACATCCACTAAATGAGGGACAAATCTGGAGGGAATAAATGTTTAGTTGCATTTTATTATTATACATTTTATTATACTATATTTTAGTGAATAAGGATATTCATTATCTTAAATGTCTTCAAAAAAAGTATAGTCTCGTTCAACAAGACACTCGGCTGTCTCCATAAATTTCTGCTGGTCGGAGATTTACGGGGATAGCCGAGCGTTTGGTTGAACGATACTTCAAAAAGTCGTGCATGCGACGGGTAACACACAGATCAGGAAGAACTGTATTTAAAAAAAAAACAGAGTTGAAAAATCATGTTTAACTCTTTCTAGTATCACACATACTGATGAGTCATTATTGTTTGTTGTGGCAATTGTTAGTGGACTTGGCGGGATTCCTCCAAGATCCAGTTAAATTTTGTTTCTTAAATTGAAAATATTGAATCCCTCACATTAAAATTAATACTACATTAAGCTTAGAAACTTATATACGCACACCTTACCCCTTTTTGGCCAAGTAATTTCCCATCGCCAGTCTCTGCTCCAGCTGTTGGTTATCTTGAAATGGATCATCTATTTTTTTATCAAGTAGTTCATATATTTGTGGATACATCTCTTCGGTAATTTTGTTCATGTTTTGAAGCTGTATACAAGAAGTTAATTTGATTATAGATTTGTTATTTGTATTATATTAGAAAGCCTATATGACAATGAAAGTGTATTTAAAAAATCTTTTTACAGGCAATCTGACAGCATCATTATTTGGTCCGATTCCGAGGCACAAGCAAAGTACATAACAGTACTGTCAAGTTAGCCTTTATTGAGATCATTTGTTGCAACTTCAAATATTTTTGAAGAAGTGTAAAAAATATATTCTGAGCAAACATTGACCTCTAAAAACATCAAAGATGGGAGCAAGTGCCACGGAGGAGTAAGCAAAGCTATCGCTGTCGACCAGTCACAAATTTGTAGACATTCCAGTTTCAAAATAACGACCTATTTGTTTGTCAAAAATTGCCATGTCATATCAATTTTCATTAACTTATTTGACGATAGCTAGCAATTGTACCATATAAAAATGCTTCTAGCCATCATTGAACCAACTTTCAATTATATTCTACATGCTTTATAATATCATAAAAGCTACAGGTCACCAAATTATGTACCTTGACCATGACTTGATCGAAGTCTCTTAGAGTAGGTTTCAGTTCAGGATGATTCGCTAACAGCATGTCATATGCCTCTCCTTCTACAATGGACTTTGTTCTCACTGTTCTCCTCTTTCCAGACATGGTTGAAGAAGGTGAATTGGATGAATGGCCTGGTAAGAAATATCTTCATTCAGGATTTTTTTGAATTCGATTTTTAAACGTTTAGAGATCTTTAATTGATTGCATGTACTTAATATGACAGGAAACAGTCCAGACTAATATTCTTTAATGGAACTGCATTTTTCATAAGTCAGTTTACTTAAAATAATTTAACATTATAATTCACCTGTTTTAGTATTTGCTGAGTGGGTACTCCTGTCAGTGCGAATTTTGATTGGTTCCTTCTTGGTATCCCCCGGGACCTCTTCAGAACTACATCCTGATCCCATCCTCCATCATCGTGTGTCGTCTGCTGAAAAAATGTATAGTTTGCCGTTTTATTACATGAGGGATAATAACTTTCATTGCTTCTCATAGGCAAATGGCAGGGTTTTCAACTTTTCCAACTTAGTTTCAATTGAAAATTTTAAAGTAAAAGAAAAAACTTTGATTTGCATTTTCATTGTATCTCTCTTAAATTCTTTATTCTCTAATGGCGGTTAAAACTAAATTTGTTTGAGAAAAACAATCAGTCGTTTCATAACATTTTCATTTCAAACAATCGCGATATGCACGTCATTTACGTTTATTCATAAGCATTTTTAGCAATTTACGGTATTTCAGCTAATATTAGAAATGTCAAGAGACTGCAATTCAGAATTGTGATTTTTCACCTTTACAATGGCTACAAAGGTGCATCTAATATACATGTACACTCACGTAAACCTGCAGCGTGTTTGTCTGGCTAGAATGAAATTTAAATCTATTGATTTTTTTAAATAACCGCATTTTGTGTCTTCAATAAACCCTATCTAGATCATCTATCACGCGAGTTTTATGCAGTAGTAAACAAAGATTATTTATAGTGACTTGGATATAAAGTAATTGTAACTAGTGCTAATTGTAACGGGAACCGTTACAGATGTTCCCCAAACGCTCCCCAACTCCTTTTTGGTGCCATATTCCCTGTAAGCTTCATTAAATAAGACAAACTCTGTGCATTTTTGACTTTAACAACGTTTTCTCAGAAGGATACCAATTGTATTCAAATTTTAGCATTGCACCCGTGCGCATGTGAATGCATGTGCGTTATGATCATATCATCTACACTATCTACATATCTTAATATACTATATATTAAAACATTCAGTCCAAAAGTATGAAAATCACTCTTTGTCGTTCCAAATGCACGCACGTGCGTGCACGTGCATGATGAAACCTTCTTGTAGGAGTCCCTTATATCTATCTATATTCTAAATCCCATCCTGTTTGTTTGAAAAACAAGGGAGTTATAGCCATTTCAAGTTTAAGCCAATCAGATTGCAGCAAACGTGCATGCGCGTGATTTCATGATTGTTTTTCCACATCATACTGTAGTATATCGTAATGCATGACTATATTTTAAATTTCAAAGCATTTTCAAAAAACAAAGGAGATATAGCCATTTAAAGTTTCAGCCAATCAGATTGCAGCACGCGGGCATGCGCATGCTTTCATGAAAATTCTTATATATCACGCTGTAGATCTTCATAATGTAGGTATATGTTCAAAATTTCAAAGGATTTTGACAAGAAACAAGAAAGATATTGAGACTTTAGTTTCAGCCAATCAGAGCGAAGCGCACGTGCATGCGCGTGAGATCGTACTTTTTTGACCATGTCATTTTGTCTATTTCTAATATATACTTATAATATGAATTTCAAATCATTTCATCAATAATTTAAATAGTTACGTCTGTATCAATTATATTGGACATTTCTCGTGTTTTCATGCAAGCACATGTGCATGCACATGCTTTCATGAAAAATCTTATACTACAGGCTGTAGATCTGTCTAATGTATGAATATGTTCAAAATTTCAAATGATTTTATCAAAAAACAAAAAAGATATTGAGACTTTAGTTTCAGCCAATCAAAGCGAAGTGCACGTGCATGCACGTGCGATCTTCTATTGTCATCTTGTGCATACTGCTAATATATCCTTACATTATAAGTTTCAAAACATTTCGTCACAAAATAAAAAAGGTAAGGCATTATATATTGGTCATTTTAAGTTTTGCATTTACGTGCGCGCAAAATGACCTTGATTCGCAAATCTACATAAATGCCTACTTACCCTAAAAAGGTTTTAAGTCATGTGTAGTTTACAAGATCACGGAAAAGATTTTCCCAGGAAGAAAAATAATAATAATAATAATAAGAACTAGAAAGTCTGCTATTGCAAGCAATAGCATATGTCGCCCCGTACTGGAAAGACTTTCATTTTTATCATCACTTAAACAATGGTCCATTAGCTAAGCTTGGACAACCATCGAGAATCCTTTGTTGATTAATTTACATCCCATTTTATTTTTACGGTAGGAGAAGAAAGTATGCAGGAAAAAATTACAAGTTCCTAAATTTGCAGACTTGCATAAAAGAAAAGATGTGAACTGATCATACTTGTTAATTGGCAGTATCTTTCCTACCAAAAAAGCTTGGCAAATGTATTTTTTTAAGAAGATACGAATCATTCTGTGTATTATAAAGTTAGAACTCTGAAATTTCACTTTCATTTTTAGAGGTTTTGCCGGAAAACGAATCTGACATGCCACCTTCAATTCGAGCATTTCTGCATTGTACAGGGCTGATGTTTCTTATGAGATGATAAATCATGTGTAAACTTTCTCAGTTTAGCGGAATCGTGAACATTTTCGGCGAGATGAATGTTTTGTTTACAGTAGTGATCAAGGCTTAGCGCACTTGTAGGAGCGGATCCTAGGATTTATGAATGAATAAAAACTATGGAAATAACGTACCAATTTTCTAATTTATACTTGCACTATCTAATGAAATTAATAATATACAAGTTATAGATATACAAAAAAATGCGAAATGCTAATAAATGCAGTTGCGTTATTTTATATATAGATAAAATAAAATAATTATAAAATAAACAGAAGAAGAATGAAGGTTGGCAAACTATGAAATCAAATCAGGAGAACTGAATTTTAAGAATGAAACTTTTAAAACGTTACTTGTAAGTTGTATATGTTAGATAAACAAAGATTATTTAAAGTAAGGGACTCGTATTTCAAATATAAACAATTATTTTAAAAGTAAAAATCACTTTGACACATTGCAAGGAATTAACATTGAAAGTTTCATAACGATTGCTTGAGTAGTAATTGAGAAAATCGAAATTAAAGAATTTTAAAATGGCAATATCGAGTATTTGAAAATTTTAAATACTACAGATACTAATCATTAAAATAAAAAGAGTTTCATTACGAACGTTTAAGGGACCAGAGAGAACACTCTCGGACAAAATTTGCAAGGTTTCCATGGCAACGGTAGACATAATGGAACTGAACGACCTCACTGAAAAACTACAACCAGTGATCGTCCTTTGAGGAAAGTTTAAGCCATTCATTCGAGTAAAAAAAACATGCGTACAATAGAATGTCTGACTTCTGTTCGGGGCGACATAATAATAATAATAAGAAACAGAGTAAAAACAATATGTTCCCCAACTTCGTTTGGGGAACATAATAATGATCTTGAAAAGAAGTATTGAACTTGAGCGAAAACAACATAATGGTTTGCAAAAATAATCAACTACGTTTAAATTCATTCAGTCTAAGAGAATTCTGATCTGTTAATGTACCATTATAAAAAAAAAATTAAGTGAAAGAACACAGCAAAAATTTAATAAACAAAAGATCTTATGAAGTAAATAAGTTCGATATTAAAAATAAATGCCGGACGTTTTAGAGTGGTACATATATGCAGGAAAAGAACAATTCTATTTAACATTGACCTAAATCAAGGAATGATACAAATCAAAGAATTACTACATTGTACTTACCTGTTTGATTTAAGTCTTCAATTTATATATAACACAGTAAACGGTATTTAACTTCCGGGTAACAAATAACTGTCAATCGAGGTTTCTGGTCGAAGACGTTGTTTCTTACTGCGGAATCAATATCTATTTTAAATGTCCAACTACGGTTCGTCTGTTAACAATTAGAGTAACTCATTTTAGATAAAATCCTTACATACCAGTAGTTGATAAAACTGTAAGAAACAAGATTTATATATGCTAGTCTACAAAATCAAGTACTCTTAGGTTAGCTGGACAAAAATTAGTGATATCTGTAATAAATTATTCCCTTTTCCTACTCTGGTATATTACGAGAAATAAACGCTTGTAATGGAATACTTATTCAAAGTAAATAAGTTGTAATCACAGAAACAGAAACGAGGTATGATGTAAATTTATGTTTAATTTGATTTTAAAAAAATATAAGTAGCTTTTCTGACTGTCAAAATTGACATAAAATAGCTGTTTCAGTAAATCAATAATGACTATTGCTCTGTATTTTGTATGTTGATGTTGTTTGACGTCCCTCTGAGAATTTTCCCCTCATATTGAGACGCGACCACTTGTCAGGGGTGGTTGAAAATTAAAATCTGTAATCTGCTCTTAGGGCCTTTAGCATGATGGGGCTTTTTTATGCCACCAACTGCTGCAACACGGTTTCTTCCGGGAGACCGTTCACCTTGCTCCTTAGTTTGATTCAAACCTTGGAAGACAGATAAACTCCTTACTCCTTGACTATGAGACAACACTCTAACCATAGCGCCACTCAGGGCGAATTATTTATTTAGAATATATGGTAATTAGCTTTAAATGAACGTATTTCGAATATGGCAACACGTTATAACTGCGTTAAAATTCCTTATTTGTGTCGGAAAATTGAAAAAAAAACACATTTTACTGAGAAATGTCAAAACTTACTGCATCTAAGTTTAAGCTGATACAAAGGCAGTCTGACTAAAGCCAGCCCCTACTGTTTCACTTAAGAAGTGAATAGAAGGAGCTGGTTTTAGTCAGACTGATATAAAGGGTGATTGTATTGTTCATCAATAATTTCACAAATTCTCTGTACATAAGTAAAGAAATGCAATACACAAAAAGGCATTACAAAACGGTAAAAGCACCTAGGAGTATTCAAACTTAAATTGGAAATTCTCACCTTCATATGTCTACTTATACTTAAATATGAAAATATATTGGAAGTGCTTATGTTTCTCTCGGCACATACACTGTGGTTGCTTTGATATAACGGGCTTAGTAAATAAAAAGAATATAAAAACCACGGTTAGTTCCAATGCCTGCTTCTGAATTGAATGCAATATTTGTCAAACTGTTGAATGCTCTGCTGTCTCGTTATTGTCAAAATGGAATTCGAGAACTCGCACTTTTCAAAATGAAACAAAAAAGACAAGATTTGACCATTAATCATACTTACATAAAGAACATTGGGTTCTCGAGAGGAATTTTTTTTAATGTTGTGATCAAAACCCTATTTGCTTGCTTCAATCAAATACCTATGTTTCTTCAGTATTGAAGTATTGCGCAGATATGTACGATTCACAAATTGATATAGGGATTTGAAATTTTGTTTGTTCTTTAATTGAACTTGTTACCCTATGTAGTCCTTCTTGTTGTCAAGCCTAATACTCTTTAGAAAATACAAAAATGGACGAGGATACGAAAGGTTAACCTGGAATTGTTGAAAGAGGTAAAGTTTTGATTTAATTCATTTACTTATCTTTTTCCAATATCGTAATTGAATGCATGTTCTAAGCGGTTTTATATTTAATTTTAAGAATTGTATTATTAATTTTAGTAAAATTATATAACCCCTATTTTTTTTACACTATCGTAGATATAATTCAGAAAACTTAACTTCTGTATGTAGAATTAATGGGTGGAAATAGCAGTAAATCCGAGGATAAATCATCTCCTCCAAAACAGGTATGGCTTTAGTTTCCTATATTCTGACCATTCCAGTCGCATAAATCAATTACCTAAACAGACAGCTTATAAATTTTTAATCGGTAAAATAACCGCCTGAATTATTGCAAAACGCGATAGATTACAGCCAAATTCATAGCAAGAATATGTTTCAGGATAGATATCGAAAGAGAGAAAGTGATGGAAACACTGCCAGAACAATTCAGGTTAAACCTCAGACAATACATAGACCTAGGGTAAAACCCCTGCCCCCAAAGACCACACGAAAAGATATTTTCAACAAGGATTTGCTCCGGGAGGCAACCAAAAATGCTCATCAACAGGTTAGTATTCTGAGGTGAAGGACTATGAATGAACTTACAGGTAAATTAGTTAAGTAGTAGTATTTCATTAAATAAATAAGTGTACTGTTTTCGCATAATGTATTGCTTTTATAAATGAAAGAATTGAAAATATTTGGACAGTTTGAAGTTGAGATAAAGTATCAAATATTTGTCTGAATTTTACTAATGTTATTCCTAGAACCGAATGTACAATTCCATTGTCAATAAACCGAGAAACGTTTGTAAAAGTAGGTTTCTACAAAAGAACTGGGATCCTATCAATCCCTCGCAGAAAGTCTTACCAAAGGACTAAAGAATGACATGGAGAAAGCATGGACCCTCTACCTCTGGGTTATTAACTTGGACCTCAGTAGCCAAGAGTTTTCCAAAGCTGGCGCAAAGAACACGCCAAAAGGAGATCTTAGGGACATTACAAATGGAAAATCTCATATTGCTGACTTTTTCACGACTTTATGCAGGTGCGTCAACTTGTGCAAATATTCATTAACATAGAACACTCCGTTGGTACATTCTGCATTAAGCAATAGATGTATTTGATTACACTCTTCAAAGCTTATAATGATGAAGCCATTTCATCTTTGTTTTAGATGTGTTGATTTAAAGTGTGTAACCATTGAAGGACTTAAGAAAGATGACAACTTTGAAATTGGCTGGGCAGAGAAAAAACTAGTCAAAGGAAAATGGAACGCCGTGTTCGTAAAAGAAGAATGGAGATTTGTCCAGCTGGAGTTTGGAATTTCTACTAACTCTAAGGTTTAAGAGAGACAAGAACAATCATTTAGAAAACTTACAATATGCTTGAAATCTTATTTTGATATTTTGAGCATGCAATTTTACGTTTCTTTTATTTTTTCAGTGGAAATCTTTATATTTTTTCATTGATCCCGAAGACTTAATACAGTGGTGTCTTCCCAAAGAACAGGAATGGCAGTTGTTGTATACCCCAGTCACAAAGCACGATTTTCTCTCTAGGCCAAACTGTAGACGAAAATGTTTCGAAATGGGGGTCAAAGTCGTTCAACCTACACTTGGAAAATTGAAAGTTGATCAGGGAAGAATAAGTGTGGAAGTGTTTATTGACAAAAAACATTCACAGGATACTGTTCTTAATTATAAATTAATTAGCAAAAAGGCAAAAAATGAAAACGTGGAAACTGACACGCCGAGAAGCATAGGCAATACAACTACTAGATCAGGTGGAGAACTGACACAAAGAAGTTCTAAAGAGAAAGATGAAATCCGAACTATAGAACGTATGGATAAAACAGAGACTGAACAAAATGATAGCTCAAATTCACAGTCTCCATCAGATCTTAGGAAATATGTATTTATGAGTCGTGCTGATTCGCGAGTTGTGTTTGACGTGGAGTTTCCAGTTCCAGGGACGTATGTCCTTGACATTGAAGGACGAACTTTGAGTGAGAAAGGAGGCCATAATACCGAGTCCCTGCTATGTCAATTTAAGTTTTCTTGTAATAAATGTTCCTCACAAGATGAACGTTTCCCATTACCAGATACTCCTGAGATAGGTTGGGGGCCAACACCTCACTGCATGAGATACGGTGTCAGACCTGCATCTCATGGGTATGGACATATTTACATTTCACCCAAAGAAACTGTGAAAATTCGATTTGATTACAACGGAAAATACGAGTTTAAAACGAATATAATGAGTATGAAATCTTCAATTAATACAGAAAAAATGTCTACATGCACGATATCTCCAAATAAACTCACAGTTGAGGTCAATATTCCTGATGAAGGATATTATACCTTGAAGCTTTTTGCCAAAAAAGGAAATGATAGTGAATTTATCAACGTTATAAACTATATGCTTATATATGACCAGAAAAATGTCGAGGTACTGATTTGTTTTTATTCATGTTTGATTCACAAATTTAAAGTGTAATTCTGTTTTAAAATTTCATCTTGAATAGTTTTAAATTCTCGGTTATTTTCTTCCATGAAATAATGTGCAATGTAAACTAGTATGTATGTTCCTGGTTAGATATAAGCTTATACACATTTTTCTTTGATTTACAGAAGTATGATAAGCGAATGATGCGCGAAAGGTTGTCAAAAGCAACAGAGAATGGAACGGAAGTAGAAGTGGATGAAGCGTTGAGGAATTTTGAATTTTACAAAGTCCCTGACCATGGAGAAATACAAAAAGCAAAGCGGAAATTGAAATATTTTAAGGCTAAAAGAGGTTTCAAGGACAGATAACTCATCTCTTATTGTTCCTATATGAAATCTTATTGTAGCTTGACGATTAAAAGAAAACATAGGTGATATTGACTATAGATTAAGAATAACATGTATTTATTATGAATAACTTGGAAATTTTTTTTCTTGATAGAATTAACAGATGCTATGCAGCGAAGGAATGTGAAAGTTTTAGAGGCTGCAATTGAAAATGCGAAGAACTCTTCCAACGTGGATAAAATGAGGAACGATATCAAAAAGGCTGAAGTTCTACTTGCCAGGTTGAAAAAGCTGGAAGGATTTATCCATCCAATTACAAAAATTGAAAGCGACACTTTGTTGGAAGTACGACGGTACACCAATCCCAGACCAGCTATAAGAGATGTCTTAATAGCCACGTATATTCTACTTGGACACGACATAGAGGATGCTCAGGTATGAATTAAAGCTCCTTGAATATTTATAATAATATGTCAGGAATGTATGTATTATTTTGTTTTGGCTCTACTTTTGAATCAAATAAGTAAGTTAGCACTTCCCCAGGTTTCCCCAGTTTCAAATTAAGATAGTAGTCAATGTAGATAATTTTTTAAAGACTAAATTTGGGTCCATATACTAGTAGTGAAACTTCCAAACCTTATTCTTTGAAAGGACCTATTGGTATTCAAAATTTGATTTGATGTTGAAAACTTTAATATGGAAAAATGTTAATTTCATAAGCCTTTATACCCGGGGTATATCGATCCCTTTAGATAGCTACATGTAGCTAAGCGTCACATTTCTTTAAGGTAACTTTTCAATGACTACAAACAGAAATGGGAGTACGTACAGACACAGCTAACTAAGTCAGGACGAGATAGTCTTCAGTCATTGGTGCTTCACTGTGACACGGATTCTGTGCCTAGAGGCAGAGCAGAATACGCTGACCCGTTCCTGAAACCGTTAGACCTGAAAGCCGTTCGAGAAGCCAGCAACGAGGCAGCAGTGCTTTATCAATGGGTTTGTATTTTTTCGTCCTATGATATTTTTGAAAAAAATAATAGACTGCTAAGCTTTTGTATATCAGTTGACCATTGGTTGAAAAAATACATATTGTCTTAGACGAAAGTGTATGGTTAATCTCTTTTATTTATCTGATGATTTTTAATTTAATATGTACACCTGAAATATATTTATTGTAAACGTTGAACATTGTAGGCTTCCCATGTTATTGAAGTCAAATTAAAGGAAACAGAAAAAGAACCTGAAAAGCAGATCGAGGAACCAGAACGTGAAAGTATAGAAAATGTATCTGAACCTGAAGTCAAAATTAACTCTAAAAGGCAATCGGTTACATCTCGAACGTCATCTCTAAGATCTGTCCGACCCAAGATTGACTCTATACGGAAGAAGGATGATAAGGCAATAATTCCGAAAAAGTTCAAAGGTCAAACGGAAGCTGTTAGATCGTCCTCTGAACGTTTCCAGTGGCCAAAACGTTAATGTAGGAAAACCCTCGATATTGTCGGAAAAAATAGTCATGAGTTACATAAATGTATAAAGATCTTCTTCAGTTTGATGTGTATTTCTATGGTATTTAAGCTATTCCGATTTTAATTTTAAGTGTGTTAAGTAAAGACTAAAACATAAAAAGAATAAATCATTTCGATGTTCTGTGAACTTATTTTTGTTTTTAAACCTTGTTTAATTTTTGTTTCTTTTAAGAAGAACACACACACATTTGATTATAAATGATTTTACATTCCAAAAAACGAACACAAATATTTTATTATTTGGTTAACCAATTTGAAAAGTTCTCACATTGCAAGTACATGTTTATATTTAAATTTCATAAATGCGTATGCTTTTTCAAACTAGAAAAAAAAACAAATTATTTTGAGCATAGTAAGACAAACATTGTGGTTAACTTTAATTATCAATAAGTATAACTGAAAATAATAAAGTGTTGACTTGTAAGTACCAACCGGGTAATCAAATAAAAATAAGAGTCAACGTCTTTTTAGTACATTATTTACAGGTTATATTGCATGCAGATGTTTCTCCTATAAAAAATCAGTCATTGTATTTAATCATATCAATATATCTCTTCATTGAATGGATTTCTTCTTTGGAAAGCACAACAGCAATGCAGACGCTGTTAAAACTGACACGTTATGCATCACTTTCACGGCTTTCGTATAAATAACTTCATTATTTGTAAGTCACATTTGATTAATAGTATTATTGATCAGCGCTGCCTGTCGCTATATCCCCCACATCTCACACGTGCAAATGTCGGAGGGACAGAAATCCATTTGGTTTGGTTTACAGTTCCTCATACATAAGTTATTTGTATGTTGATCCCACGCATCAATTGCAAAGCACCTTTGGCCGGTATTAGAAGGTGACGTATTTCCTTTCACAAAAATACGTTTGCTCGCAGGACAAGTACACATACACATTGACATGGGACAATGTCCTTGTGGACAGATGGATGAGCAGAATCGGTCATTTGACCGTCCATCTCCCCACATAGTGTTTCCTTTACATGTCGGTTGTGCACTTTCTGGACATTCTATGTACGCATTATCACCTCCAGTCTCACCGCCTGCTAGTGTTGACAATATGGCGGCGGTAGCCATGACAGATTGAGCAGTGTAATACTGTCCTGCTGCAGCGGCCTGTGAAGTGGAAGGCCCCGGTTGCCTCGAAATTCCAGCTGAGTTGAAATCAAGGAGAGAAGGTTCATTTGGACTAATAAAATCATTAAAGAAAGGATTGTATGCAGGTCCAAAGTTCTGATTTGTAGATGTCTGTGCTTTGAACTTGTTTTGTGCTGGTTGCCTGTTATTAATTGCATCAAAATGTGGTGATGGGTCAATGAATAAAGTGCTTTGGCCGATGAGATCTAAAAACACTCGATCGGCAAGGGCTTCTTGAAAATTTTCATTATTGAATACCGCTTCGTTGTATTGATGGGGTTGGTACTGTTGAGCAACTTCAGTGTATGGTGTTTGAGCAACTTCGGGAATTTGTTGCTTCATGACTTTGGTTCTCGTTACAGTCAGTTTGGGTACCTTTGGTTTCTTAGTGACTTGTGGACTCTTGGCTGCTGGTTTGGGGATTCGGTTAATAGCCTTATCTCCAATGGCGATATCTGCACAGTTTACGAAATATTCTTGAGGTCCACAACCAAAGCATTCTTTTCCTGTGCGTTTATCAATCCCCCTGTTTTGTGCTGCAACAAAAATATGTTTTGTACTATATACCCCAGTATATATTACATAAGCAAAATATGCATATGAATAACTGCACCTAAAACTGTACAACTTTACTGGCCAAAATGTTATACCCATTGAAATGAAGTTTTAAGTGTCCAGGTTTTCATAAACGATAATTGTTATTCCTTTATTATCGAAAGTGTGGGGACAAAATAGAATTTAAAATAAAAATTACCTGCTCTCCATTTCCACTGTAGTACGCATTGTGAGCACCTTAAATGTGGGGGAAGCATAAGCTGCAAATCTACCATGACAGTTTTGTCATCATAAAGCATAAATCGCTTTCCATATCCAATTATATTTAACACGTGCTTATCTAAGCAGGCTTCGGTAATGGGGGTGTAGGGGTCATTCTGTGGGCAGAGACGAAATTCGAAATATCCTTTATGATTTGTCGTCAGTTCTATGGTGATGTTAATTGGTGAACCCACTTTGTATTGCTTGGTAATTATTCCAAGAGCATACTTCCCTCCAGCCTCGTTTTCGCGAGGTCCAAGATACGGGTCACCACATATTCCACATTTACCATTTGCTTTTTCCATCATTTCCTAAGGATAAAACATACAGTAATATAAAAAGGTAGCATTTGGAAGTCACGAATTCATTAAAAAAATATATGAAAGGTATGAATATTCAATATTTCTTTCCGTTGTACTCCTAGAAGCAATGGTTTAAGGAATAGAAAGACAGTATATAATTTCAGAAACTTAAAAGTACCAAGGAATGGAATGCAAAGCCAAAGCAGTTCAACATGCAACGGATCCTTTGATGAATATAAAGGTTGTAATTTTGCAAAGTTATTGAGGAATTATTGAGGAATATATTTGCTTTCTCCAAAATTCTTCGACAGTCGTGTTCCCACTATTTTTTTTTAAATAAAAGCCTCCCTAACATGAAAGATTTGTCGTCCAGATTTTGATTTTTTTTCAAATTGACTTATTTTCTGGGGATTGTAGGGAGCAATTTGAATAAAAAATCAAACACAATTACATAAAAAAAATTCACAGTGGCTGATAAAACAGAAAACAATTTTAGTAACCAAATCCAGATTGTTTTAAGCATATTTAGAATAGAACAGTTTTAAAAATTGAATTATTTTTCCTTATTGTTGGTGATAACAAAGTTTTGTTAAGGTGCAGATTAGGATCCTAGGTGAGATAATGCAATATTTATTGTCAGTTTTTTTAACATGCTTTATTAGCTCTTTTCATTAACTATAAATAACACATGTACGAGGGGTTATCAAAAAGTTCGTGGACTGAGGCTATAAAATTAATACTATACTGCCTGAACTTACAAAATTTATAAGGAACCTAAGACAACAAAAAATAAAGAAATGTTGAAAATTTTAGCTTGATACGTTCATTATTCCCCAAATTATTATAAAATAAAGACGACATTATATGATCACCCGGCGCCGTCGCCGTTTAGTTTCATGAGGTCCACCAACGTCATTATTTTTTCGATGTCCGCTTTTTCTACCTCGTATACTTATTTTGATGAGATTCCATAGAGCTGAGTAATGACTTCAACCCGTCTTGTTTTTATGACTTAACAATATCATCAACAGCAGCTTACAGTGCATATATTATTGCAAATATACACTGGGAGACATCCTCGCTTGATTGTGCCAGCATATTTTTTGTTGAAGTTCAGTATAGCTATAAAACACATGATCAACGTCATTATTTGACGTGATAGATTTTTCAAACCTTGACTACAAATCGACATTAACTTTGCATCACTTTTCTCTCTGAATCTATTTTGGCAATTGAAAACAAGTAATCTGGATGCAATTTTATTCTCCGTAGCCAGTTTAAAATTTTCCTAGGTGTATACCAATTTTTCAAGGAGCAAAACTTATAGAATGTTGGAAAATGAAACCCCTCCCCCCTTTTGACGTCATTTTCAAGGCAATATTTGTTTGGATACTCCATGTAAAATTTACAATAAAATTTCATAAAACTTCCAGAATAAGGTAAAAATTTCATATTTTGTGGAACAATAGTGTCCCAACACATACCCGAACTAACGGAATTTTTGGATGTCAAATGTTCATATTAAAATAATTTGTCTTACTTGCATTTAGGTCGGAAAAAACGTAGTTTTGGAGGTTGCACCGCCTGGACATACCACTGCTTACAAAAACTTTACTAATTTATTTAAAAATAAAATTTATGATTTGTGGTTTATTGTATAGATAGAAAAGATGATAATAACTAAATATTTTAAAATTCATTGATTTACCTAAAGCGGTTTTAATTTTATGGTGCTAGTCCACGAACTTATTGATAGCCCCTCGTATTAGTTAGCTACCTTTCATTGTTACTGCTTTTGGCTAAAAAAATCTATTTTCTTGACAATTGATTTATAAAAGAAGTAATGAATTCTAACTTTCTTAACTCTTCATCGTTTATTAATATGTTATTCGTATTCTCTATAAAAACAACAGAAATTCAAATCGGGAGTACAATGAATATTCAAGATGGCCATACTTTGTTGTCAGTTGGTACAATTGTGCCTACTCATCAAGAACATCAACCACTAAACCACAGAACGCATTCTAGGTCTTATAAAGCTTACATATTGATTGCACTTTAATGCATCTCAGGTTAAGCTTAAGCATTTGTGGTAAAGCTTTCCATTGTGTGGACACGAAATGAGTTCATACCTTGCCAAGCCAAAAAATATGTTCATATCTTTATTTGCAAGTATATGTTATATTTCAAACTAAGTGTGACTGCTTAAAAATTTTTTTTGATATGCATATGTCATCACAAAATACTAAAGGCTAATGTCAATATACACTGTATTTTTTTTAAGTAATCGGACAAAGACTGCATGGTTCCAACCATTAACCTTATATATACCGAGGGAAAACAATGTAATAAATTCTATTTTCATGTGTTACATGTACGTCTATAAAAAGCAGGTCTTTTGTAAATATTTATATGGAAGTTATTTTTAATCTAATATGTTAAGACATTTATGATGATGATAAATATTCTATTTATAATTCTGCAATGGCTAATGTAAAATAATAAAATATAAGAACATGACGGATTGCGGAACCGAAGCTATCGCCCCATAGGGAAAAGACATCCTTTTCCTTACACAACTGTTATTTTTTGTGATTTAATGCCCATCTTAATTGTCAACATATGCTTTAAATCTATCATTAAAATCATTGTATCATTACATCCTCATTAGCAATGTCTATCTTGAAGATGTATCGTTTTAAAAATGGCGAATGCTGCATCAAATGAAAGAAAAAAGAATTGTATCTTGGCAAAATTGACAGCCAAGCAAAGTTTTTCCTTCCCAGTGAACGCATTTCAATATTTTTGTTTACTATATGTTCAAGTATTTGTGAGATATCCGTTCCATCTCTTGTTTGTTCCTCAAAAGATTTGGGCAAAACTAATGTCCTATTAAAGAAATAAATTTCACATCTGACTAAAAATTGTTTTTAACATTTCTAAATGTAAAATGATTGTTCTTCATTTCATGTATTTTTACTAGTATATATATGTTCGATTTAAATGCATTAATTTTTTTTAATCTGAATGCATGAATGGCGTGAAACAGAATGGTTATAAACTTCAAAGTCTCGTGTTAATTAGTCGCATAACTGAAAGTCTTATCATTATCAGGGAAAGCGTCATATTTGACATATTTCCTTCAATAAATCAAAATCATTTAATTTGTCTCTTGAAGCCTAAAATGGTAAGATTCCATCATGTCATTTTCATGTTTATTAAGAAAAAGAATTGACCCTACAATGAAAAATAGAGATTTGAAGGCATGTAATAGCTTTAGAATTGCAAAAAGCACTCATTTTGAGAATACGTTATACGTTAACAGCATGAGAAATCGTAATTTGTTACTAAGTATATACACAATATACATAATTAAAGTATGGCGTTTTAACTCTTTTTATATATTCATATTTATTTATTTATATTATCAATTTTTTTTGCAATAGATATAAACATAAAAATATTTTTATCGATTATAAGCTGTACAACAAATGAAATATTTATTTACATACACTTTGTAAACTTAGAATGGTACAGTGTTCTTAAAGTTTAATACATGCACCAAGAAATTTGAAGTAATGAAATTTGGTTTTTATATGTCTAAATATCATAGGGAATTCGGAAAAATGTTTATAAGACTACAAGTCTAAATCACTTCTGTACATATAGAACACTTATTTTCACCAAGTATTTTGGTATAAATACATGTAAATACAAGTAAATCCAAAACAGTTTTGTTTGTTTATTTATTCCTTAAATCATATGACTTATCAGATAACACAATTACAAAATATAAAGTTTTATATTTTACAATTTTCAAGGTTTTAGGTCATTTTTTAAATTTATAATGTAGCTAATTTAAAAAAAAAAGTGATGTACTGATGATATAAGCAATAATTAAAAAGAAATTAACATGCAGAATGGTCTCTTAAGTTATTACAATTATTAGAAATATTTTAAATTGCATTTTAAGTAGATATGCAGCTACCTAAGTGGCGTCGTCAATTGACCTTCTTAATCAAACTTTTGCACTGCAAAATGTGTTGAATAATATTATGTTTTAAGAATGCTTATCTATGCATTCCATCTAAATCTCTTTGAGTTTTGGAAATCTTCAAAATTTATGATGACCTTTCTCACTGAAATGCCTAATGTGAATGTATAAAATGAATAATGTTCGCTGTAACCAAAATTTTGATCAAAATTGTCTCATTTGATTGATTTAAGGTAAAACTTAACTGCGTTGTCTTTAACCCTGCATATTATAAATTCATTGAATGTCTCATATGGTCGCGGAGAACGTTTATATTTCATGTTTGTTGAATCAACGATCAAGAGCTGCAGTTATTTATTACATGTAAGCCATAATATTTAGTAACCCAGTACCGATAGTCAATTAAAAACAAACAAAAGAAATCAAAGACCAAAAAATGAGCACAATCTCTCTATGTATTGTCAGGAAGACGATTGACAAAATTTTTAAAACCGGTTCCATAGTAATTCCTCGAAGAAGTGGGATTTTTAAAGGGTACATTACTTGAAAATCTACACTTTAAAAATATTGTAAATATATATTAGGTCTGAACACTAAACATTATACTTAATGGGGAACTTGGTCGAATTCCTCTATTATTAAAGCGAAAATATTTACATTGTAAAAAAAAACTTTATTTTCTTAAATGATGGATGAACTTGTTATACAAAATCGTATGCAATGGCATCGATTCAGAACTTAGTTCATTGTATGTTTAAGGTATTTTAGATGAAAGTGAATTACACTGTATCTTATTTATGGACGACACAACAGATGCTCAGTTTATCATGGGTTTAAAAAGAAGTTAAAAGAATATTTGTTGACTAATATATCCAAAACTGGAAATTTAAAGTAATGTTTTTAATCGATGAAGTATATGAAGAGGCCGAATAATAATCAAGCTGAAAAGTCCAGTCAAGTAATATAAATCAGGCGCACAGCAGACACAGATGTCTAAGATATCAGAAATGGAATCAGTTAACATGTGGGAGTGGTAATCCCTTGCCTACCGAACAAACACCCGACGTCTGCTCCTTGTCATGATCGGGAAAGGAGCACAAGACGCGTGTGACCGGTTGCAAGTGGATACTCACTTCTTTATGGCACCTAATCCCATCTCTGGTGTTTTTGAGGTCCGTGTTTGCTCTGCTTCTATTTTGTATTATTTTATTGATCATGAATATTGCTCATTATCTCCATCTATTTATCTTTTCATTATTTTTTTTTTGTTTGTTTGTATGTATGTTTATTCATCCTGTGTGACTGTTTGTTTTAAGAAGGCTTACAATTGATTTCTAACACCTGTTTAACTATTGCCTGTCTTTATTGCTATATGTATCGTTTTTGCAATAAGTTACAATATTTTCTTTAAAATTTATCTGCAGGTAGAGCAAATAATCACAAACTCGTTATTAAAAATAATTTTACTTTCCACAGTTTCACAATATTCTTTTCAGACAATCTACTGTAATCCGGGATCGTGTTGCCTAAAAGCTTTGTCCTGTCGACAGTCGGCCATTTCGCCACACATTTGATGGACGCCTACCGCGGCCCGCAGTTCTCGTGTAGTTCATGACAGTAATGAACGTATAATTACCATCGCTTATTGTACACGCTTATTGTAACGACACATTGCGTGTAAATATAGATCCTTTTTATGTTAACGTTTACAATGTTAATTGGACAAGGTGGTCTAATTAAAATTTAACGTGCGAGGTATATAAATGTCATCTTTGAGTGTTCAATAAATGTTCCCAAGAAACCACATAACATGTACTTTATGAAAAGGAAATTTATGGAGGTTATTTTAATTTAGCATTTCTGAATGTCATAAATTGACAAAGTAATCAACTTTTAATTATTGAACTGTTAAAAACTTTTTGATTTATAAAAAAAACCTTGCATTCGTTTGAGTTACTAATAAAGAAAGGAAAATGCACAGTTCTTCCTTTTATTATATTCAATGTATAATGATCAATATAATTATTCAATATCATTTAGTGGTGTTTTTCCTTTTGGCAAGAAATTGCAAAAAACACTGAATTTAATGATTTACACGTGATACAAAAGATAGATTCAAATTTTATTTAAAAAATTTATGAAAATATGATTGTTGCAACTTTTCTAGAGACATACAAAGTCTTTCTTTTGTGGAAAAAAGAAGGCAAGTGTTTGTTGAATATACAAAGATTAAACACAGAGAACTGTATTTATTTATAAAAAGCCTTAAAGGTGCATAGACACAAATTTGAAGTTAATATTTTCTGTATAATATCACGACTTATATATTGTAATACCATTTCACAGGAAAAAATATTAAAAATCTTATTTCATCTAATAGTAATTTAAACTTTAAATTTTTGGATGCGTTTTATTGACACATCCTTTGCACTTTCACAAATTTTAATTTTATTCTTAATACTTAGGAAAACTTTGATTAAAAAATTGATACATTTTATTGTATTCAATAACAGATTTTTGATAAAATAAGATAATTTCATTAAGATAAAAAAAGATCCCAAAATTTATTAAATAGAAATTAATGTTGATATGCATAAATAAGTTTTCTTACGAAATAAAGTAATCAGCTATACGCCTTTTGCTCGTTTATGTCGATGCCTCGTAAACCTGTCCAGGAAAATCATTTACTTGCTATTGCTGGGCATATCGTTTCCGATTCTAACTCAGACGTGTGCCATTGGCTCAAGTGTTTTATTTATACATATACATCGTAAGAAACACAAAGAAATGCTTTTTATACAAATTCCGATATATTTCTGATATATTTGTTTTATGTTTTCGAGCAGTTCTTTGACTTTTTGTCCATAAAAAAATATTATACTTTATTAAAGAAACATAGCAACAATTTCGATATTATCTATTTCTTCTCTCCATATATTACTTTTTTAATATATACTAGTAGGGATAAAAATTAAATGTTTAGAATTTCATTACTTAAATTAATTTGTGCATTCAAAGGATAACGATTCTACATATTAAAGAGTAAATACTCCAGTTTACCCAAGAGTTAGTTTCAAACTTACCACAAAGCCTCCACAATTCAGTTCGTTGTCGTTATAATTTTTGGGTGTTTCAAATCCAACCCGCCACATTGATGATCTCATGGGTGGATCAATCATTCTTCCATGGGCATCCGTAAAATATATGTAACTCAGATAAACAATCAGTCCAAAAAAGAATTCCATAATTGCTTTGTGTTCGCGAAACCTTTTGATATTCTTGTTTTGAGCACAAAATTGATATAATTTATGAATACAGGTCCGAAACTTTTCTGAATGTCACTGCAACTCTTCGTTTAAAGATTCTCAAAATTAAAAATGTAGAAAAGCAAATGTTAATAAAAATAAAAGCCCATTCAACTAATTTTACGAACGTTTTGGGGCCTGTAGAACACAGTCTTGTGAGAGATGCCGGGGCTGTCATAGAATATAAGGCCCGACGGACCGGAAAGAATGGTGACATCTTAATATTGACGGCAAAGACTTCTGCGATCACAGGTCCCTTTAACCACTGTATTCTTAATCACGACTTCCTTATCAATTATTACAAATTCATATGGTATAATCTTCGGTCATCCACTTGTGCACGTTCTTATTGATATTGACTTAATCTTATTTTTCTTATTTCAATATCGTTGAAACAATTTTCTAGAACTATTGCAGTGAAAATGGTTGACCAAAATCTTACTCAATTAACCACTTTTTTAAAATTCAGAAAACAGATAATTAATTAAATCAACTGCAATATAAGCGAGATGTAAAAGAAATGCCACATTTTCTATAAATCCATAAAAAAATATATCAAACAAATTGTCTTCAATCCCTTTTAATCTTTTTTTTCCAGATGCATATACTATTTAATAAAGTGATTACTTGTATAAAGAAATACGAAATACCTCGAATGTACCTTAAGCTAAATAAATATGGAAATGAAAGTCATTTTAAAAAAAAAAAACATAAAGTAACTATGACATTAACGATAACTCGACTACAGTTTGACTAAATAATTTTGATTATTCGAATAGGATATCCGAGTAAAAACTTCTTTTTCATCATTATAAAATACTTAGAAAATGTTCTACAATGAAACAGGTGATGCATAAGGAGGAAAAGATTCCCTTTAATATTGATTGGTTTAACCTAATTAAATTTGAATCTCTGTAGGGCAATTGAAATATATACTGTATACAGGGTTATTTTCGCCCCGTCTTATTTTCGCCCTTTCACACTTGCAAACAATTTTGCCCCGTTTTAAATTCGCCCAATCATAGTTTTGTTTAAGAAATTATACTGTATTCTTTGAATTCGCCCCGTTTTAAATTCGCCCAAAAGATCGTAGGGCGAAAGGGGCGAAAATTTCCCTGTATACAGTATTACTTTGTTCATCTTTTAAATATCTCCTCAATAAAAAAAAATGTCAAAAAATGTTGGATCTTTTTTTTCCAAGGTTGAAACAGTCGCCTGCATGATACAGTAATTAGATCATTTGCTCTATTGTCGCGGTATGCAAATTTCACTGCCAAATGTTACTTTTAAAGACGAGTATTCTCGAGAGGGAGACGGAATATGAAAGGTTGATAGGAATAAAAGAGTGGGTTGCTTGAAAATATTACCTCAGTTTTCTTTCTCTTTTTTGATACACATTCAAAACGTTTTATTATATATTAGGAAGCTTTTACATAAATAATGTACGTTAAAGACTCACTCGAAAAGAAATTAACATACTGCTGTGTACAGAGACAGATGACATAAGAAAACTTTAGTAAACAATTAAAAGAATACAATGAACATCCTATAGTAGAATTATTTGTTTGTCTAATATAGACATAGGAAAAAATATGTATTAACTACATATGAATAAAAAACATCGATGTAGAATTTTTTGGGATTTGTTGAACCAAAACAATTAACTTGATGATTTACTTGTAAAAAGAAATTGAACTGTATTACTAGTGTCTGCTTCTTTATCTCTGAATTGGTATTGTTTTATAGAACGCCCTTTTGGAGAATTTTTCACTCATATCGAAACACCACTACTTGTCAGTGAAGAGCTGCAAATTAGTCCTACTGTGGGCATTCAAGTCTATTGAACAGTGAGATATTCTTTACGTGCTTTTTAGTACCAGCAACTATAGACCTAGATTTATAGAGTCTAGTCCGAAGGACCGGACTCAATGCCCGCTTCGTGTATTTAGTTTTGATATATGTGCAAGATGACAAGGCAGCATAACATACAAACTAAGATTTATTATAGCTTGGAAGAGGAGCTGTGATTTGAATGGCAAATAATGATAATAAAGACCCATCTCCACAAATTATTATCGCAAACCACGGGCAATATTTTTATTTTCTCCCAATGTAAAGAGAGCTATATTCGAACTCAGGACCGTGGCTTTGGATGATAATGAAGATAGGACATTAAAACCGGGTATTGTCATTCATTGTACTTGTGTAAAATATTTACTTATTTGAGGATGAATTTTTATTTTAATATTTGAAATTTTCAATCATCTGCAAAACACAAAAAGAAAAAAAAATAAAATTAATGACAAAAACGTTGCACAAAACATACATCATATGTGAAAATACTTTTTTGAAGTTCAACTTAATTACATGTAAGACCCTTTAAATTCTAAAATACTAAATCTCGTAGATTTTTGGGTCTAATCATAATATCTTGACTGGATTAGCTGTTACATTTTTAAATTCATAAATTATTTAATTCACACTTAGTACTAGTGATATTACTTGAATATTTGCTGCATATTTTAAAATCAATTTGATTCGAGAACTTAATAGTATAAATAAAACTAACATTTTCAAAAAATAATAGAAGAACACGTCAAATACAATATTAGTAAATATGTCAATAAACTGGGGGTCATTTTTAAAAATTCTTTCAGAACTTTACAGAACTTTGTCATTGTTTTTCTGCTTTGTAAAGCTATTTTTATCTCTTAACAAGAGTAAGAAAATCGGGTGGAACATAGTCATAAATCAATACCTCCTTATAAAAACTGGCATAATTTCTTGCTTCTTTACTAAATGGCAAATACTTCTTTTGATTAAATGGGATTGTCAGATCTATTGTTTCTAACGAGGACTTCCCATAAGTGATCTTCACAATTCTCTTTTCGTTTGACATGCTCTTTTGGGCAAATTTTAGAACTGCATCAAGAGTCTTGCAACAAGAAATGTATCGAGAAGCGCGTCCACTTTTAGATCCATAGCGCACGTGATCTTGGACACTGACGTCATCAGAATATGGTTTTTTTGCAAAGAGACCTTTGGTTGGGTCCTCCTCGGGTCGTAATAGTCTGTAACAAGTTTCCTCTCTAGAAGGCTGTAGAAAATGGAATTAAAAATATTTTTTCAATCATTGCACAAGGAAATAATACTGGATGCAGCATGCAGAGAACTCGAGTATTCAAATATTTCAGTATATGTAAACATCATATTTCTTATAATTATTTTAAAAAATATATTTTTTACCTATGGTTTTGATACTAAAATGTCTTTTATTCTTTAACGTAACAGACTAAATAAATTAAATTGGAGGTCTTAACACTATTTCTGGGTGTACAAGCAAAACAGTTCACCTTTTCACGACTTCATAAAAAGTTTTCTAAATTTAGATATCTTAACAGTCTATGATTTTTTAAGCTTTTTTTATTATGATTTTAAATTTACATGTACATGCGACTGTGTTTTTATTTTCATTATCAAAGGGGGACAATAACAACTTTCTTACAGGAAAAAATATTTTGCTGCCTTTTTTTAAATTACTCTTTCTTTTCGAGGGAAAAAGTTGTAGTAAATGGAATTCTATATGTGATGCAAATTGTGAATATTTTTTTATTAAATATATTAAAATTGATTTAGGTCAAGTTTTATGAAATAGTTCGATCAGATACATAATATCTTTAGAGTAAACATGTCAGAGAATCGGATGTACAAGTGATGAAGTCATTAACTCACCATAGTTCCGTTGGTGAAAAGAATACTTATATTCTCTGAAAATAAACACAGAAAGGTTTAAATCGTCTATTCTACATTTCTGAGATATATCATTGTAAGAGAAGTTTAAATTACATAGCAAATATTTCGCTAACTTTAATGTTCGTCATCTTCATATTTCATTCCTCTGACGAATTTACTTTCTTTGAGGCGTTTTTTAAAATTAAATATTGTTTTATATTTTTGTTTTTCAACATCAAGAACATGTATCTATTTTAAGGTCTTCAATCCCTAATAGGAAGAAATTCAATGAAATTGAAGACATAACAGATATATAGGCATTGAATACTCCGTTTATTTAGACATACTTCCCATTTATTACTATAAGTATGTTTAGTGGGATGTGTCCTAATTCATGACCTTGAATTTTGGTAAGAATTATCTCCCCTTCTTTAATTAATAAAAAAAAATCAATTAAAAAAAATTAAGCTGGTAAAAAAATTATTTTCAATTATCATTCTATTTATAATATTTCAATGCATCTTTCCACCACAGGATTTATTGATATTCAAATTATTTGAATTTTTATTTTGAAAAAACGCTTTTCCCCATAGACTTCAATGCAATCTTTGTTAATCAACTACTGCTTAATTAATGAACTTTTTGAAAATTTCTCGTGGGCAATCCTTTTCCACTATAAAATGCTTTAATATAATATCAGAGTATTGTGTACTTGACGGACATTTAAGGGTAGAGAATTTGGTACCATTAGGGATTGAAATCCTTAAGCTTCTACTTACTTTCATACAATAACATTACTTATATTCGGTCAATTTTTTACGGTTTGCAATATCATACTGTATTACTGATTACAAGCATTTCATGTGGAATGAAAACAAAAAAAAAGTATTTACCATCTTAAATACTAGTAATAGTGATTTCACAACACACTAGTATTTTATCATTAGAGTATTTTGCAGCTTACTTATTTGTCTGCATATGCAATTATGTTTGAAAATAAACTCAAATAAACTTGACGCATTGAAAAAAATATTTGAGCAAAGTTTTCACTATTCTGCTTTGATTAATTTTTTTTCAATTAACGTTTAATTCAAATACAGTTTTAAATTCATAACTTTTTTTGTTCCTCAAACATGAATCAAGGAAGTATTTGTGAAAAAACATTTGTTACAGTGCAGACATTTGCTGTTTTCAAAAACAATTAACAGAAAGCTAAAAATTGCATAACATAATCTGATACCTGATCAAAGTTTTGCTTTTAACATGAGAACGATTGAAGATATTTGTGTCTACTTACATTCAGCTGATCCTTCTTAGCTTAGCTGCTGTTGCGCATGTCTGATTTATGTATAATTTAAAAATAATCATTAATTATTTCTATCTGACCGAATTATCTGAATCATACTTCCGCATGAAAAAAAATATTTTCTGCATTATATTGCAAGTGTAAAATTATAGTTGTACTATGATTCTGACATGAAATTATTTGGAGAAAAATATCAGTAATTTGATC